GGAGGATGTGAAGGCGGAGAAGGAGGAGGGGGAGGGGGGGGGGGTAACTGGGAGGAGACAAGGGAGGGGGAATGGGAGGAGACACGGGAGGGGGCAAAATCCCACGGGGCGACCCTCGTGCCTCCGCCGCTACCCTGTTTTTGAAACCCAGGATCGGCCTGCCTGCTCATCCCCGCCCATCCTGCTCCTTGTCTAGTCTGCGCTCTCCTCCTCTCCTCCTCTATCCTGCTGTTCCGAAGGCCTCCTTCTCCTCGTCCTTCTCCTCCTTCTCCTCCTCCTGCGCGTCCTCCGTCCTTCTCCTGCGCCTCCTCCTCCTCCTCCTCCTCCTCCTCCTCCGTCCTCGGCCTGGGCGTGCAGGTTCACCATCCGGTGTGACCCCCTGGTCTCCGTCGCAACCACCCACCGCAGGCTGATGGCAGGGTGCCCTCCCTCCTCGAGACGATGATCGCTGCAGGCCGCACATGTTTCTCCTCCGTCCTCCGTGCTGCTGCTGCTGCTGCTGCTGCTGCTGCTCCCCCTCCCCTTCCCTACCGCGCTGGAATAAGGACCAATCTGGGCCGAGGGGGGCTCTGGATTTTGGGCCGTCTCTCCGATCTGGGTCGTGGCGCCTGTTCACAGCCGAGGCGTTCCGCGGCGAGGAAAAAAATCCCTTCGTTCCTTTTTCTGGTGCGCCTTTCGTTACCACGATGACCGTGCTCGTTCCGTGCCCATTCTGGCTCAAGCTCGTGCTAGGTAAGGCCCCCCGCGCGTACGCATCTATCTGGTTGCCGTCGGGCCATCCCGCCACCGCGCCTAGGTTCTAGGTCGGAGGCCTCTGGGATGCATCCAGGGATCTCTCTGGGGTTCCTCAGAGGAGAAATAAAATCACCTAAGTGCAAGCACTCTTCGGGGACACATATATATATATATATATATATATATATATATATATATATACAGATATATGTACACACGTATGTACACACATATGCATGTGTTTTTGTGCCAGTTGCGTAGGGCTACCAGCCAGCAGTGGTGCAAGCACGGAAGAGACGGCGACAAGCCATGGAAGCATTAAGTTTGGCGCCTTGCCGGCGCTTCGGCATGTGTCACACTTTCGTCAGGGCAGGGCTGCGTAGACGCCGAGTGCCCACTGCATTTCGGACCTCCCGCCAGAATGATTATCGTCCCAGATTCGAGGCTATTCGAAAGTGCAGTGACGTCGGTGACGAAGTGGAGGACTTGGGTAAGGACGCGCGTGTGCCCGCGAGGTACCTCATACACCACGATGATGAGAACAGCGCCTCAGTTCCTCCATTCGGCTGTGATTTCGAGGAGGCAGGGGTACAACGAAAGTATGCATGGACTGATGGGCTGATGAATGGATGAGTGGAGGCAGGGCAAGTAGTGATTGGAGAGGAAGTCTGTAAAGGACTTTAGCTGGTTGAGGGGGATTCGACGATGACGAGGATGAATCTAGATCAGAATGAATCTACCTAGGGACGTACCAACCCATCCGAAGCGAATGCCAGTGTCAGGGGGGGGCATCCGAAGCAAACAAATACATCAAGGGGCTTGCAACTCCTTCGCAAGCTTCACATGACGACGCTACGTTGCATGCAACATTAGATTAGGTAGTGGCGGCATTCCAACGTTTGGCAACCACCTGGAACTCCTGGGGACTTACATCACGTGCGCGTGGGAAGAATCGAAGGAGGACGAGGAAAGAGAAGTTGACGTGGAGAAGGGTGACCATAAACTACAGGAAGGAAACTAATGAGCAGGAGGCAGAAGAGGAGGAGGAGGAGGAGGAGGAGGAGGAGGAGGAGGGGGAGGAGGAGGAGGAGGTTCTACTGCCGACAGCGCCAGCGTCAGGAGCAGCCTGTGAATGACAGGAAGCTGCGAGCCAGCGGAGGACAACAAAGGGAGAACCAGGAGGACACGCATTGGCCTTCTCGGGCAACCGATGCATGCCGGGCAGAACAAGAGCAACCTCGACGAGGAACTGGCCACCGCTCTCCTCCCGGCTACCGGGGCAGTGCAGGCATGCCGCGGGGCCGAGCTCCCGCCTCCAGCCTCTCCTTGGCGGCCCTGCGCGCTCGGGCCTCGGGCGCCCACGCTGCGCATACCGCCCCTCGCCGGACACCCCCGGCAGCGCACGAACGTCTGTCGACGGCGGCGCAGCTGGCGGCGCCCGGGGAGGCAGGCCCCACGCGGCTCTGCGCAGGAACGCGCTCCTCCTCCTGCTCCTCCTCGTCTCCCTCCACCGTCCTCCTCTATCGTCCTCCTCATTCGTCCTTCTCCCCCTCCTCCTCCCTCCTCCTCCTTCTCCTCCTCCTCCTCCTCCTCCTGCTCCCTTTCCTCCTCCTCCTACTCCTCCTCCCTCCTCATCCTCCTCCTCTTCCTCCTCCTCTTCGTCATCCTCCTTGTCCTTCTTCTCTTCCTCCTCCTCCTGCTCCTCCTCCTCACGCGACCCGCGACAGATGCGCAGCTGGCAGCACCCAGGGGCGGCCTGTGCTCGTCAGGGCGTGCGCAGCGCGTCGCTCCGATGAGCCTCCCCAGAGCTCACGACTGGCTGCGCGGACGCCTTTGGCAGCGCCCACGGGGGTTGAGGCCTTTGTGCGTCTGACCGAGAGAGCGATGATGCCATGCTAGAACAACTTGAGACGACACACGCCCCTCAGATAGCGTTCGAGGAGCATCAACTTCCGTGTGCTCCAGAGGTCGCTTCAGAGAGTCAAGGATCTGGAATGGACACTGGGCGCTCTCTTGGATCCTTGGTTCGTCGAGTTTTCGTAGATATGGACCTGCGCAACTGTTTAAGAACATGCTTGGAGTGAAGTGTGTCTTTTTAGCTAAAGGCTTTCCCTAACTCTAAGCATTGGTGTACAGGTGTCATGGTTTGAGCCACGTGGGTCCGGGTGCTTTCGAGACGGCTCAAGAGGCCCCCGATGTGGCCTCAGGACGCTGGAACAATGTTAGGGCACGGTGGAAACCCGGAGATTCGCAAGCCCCCCCCCTCCCAGGCCTCGGAGAGCCGCGCAACCAACAAAGGGCAGATTTGCGATCGAGAGCGCTCGGGAGGGCCCACAGGCAGCCCAGATATTCTTTGCCCGGGGCTCTCGGGCGGCATCTGCAGGGTTCAAGTCAGGAGGAGAAGGTGCCCATACCACTGCTGTCGTCCTGTCTCCACCTTCTTGGGCCTCCTCGGAGGCCCTCGTCGACACCGGTGGATTCGCCTCGGGATTCTGGTCAGAACGCACCCCGGGAGAGGTCCGCGGAGTAGCGGTATCGGTCCTTTCTGGTTTCCCGAAGCGTCCAGCTGTCTTGAGCACCCCCTCCTCGTACTCAGGCTTGTTCTCCTCTTTTTTCTCCGTCGCCTGCTCTTTCCTCCAGCCTCCTGTCTCCTCCTCCTTCCTCCTCCTCCTCCTTCCTCCTCCTTCTCCTCCCCTTCTCCTCCTCCTTCCTCCTCCTCCTCCTCCTCCTCCTCCTCCTCCTTCTCTTCTGTCGCACCCCGAGGCCGTCGTACATCCGCACGTGTGCACGACAAGCACGCACACATGTGCACACGCGCATAGGCCATGGCGCGCGCCCGGGCATGCAGCATTTTGCGGCTGGGCGCGTCAGAGTAAGCGGCCCAAGGATGCAGATGAAGGGGAGGCTGGGGAGAGGGGGGCTGGAGACCGATAGAGAGAGAGAGAGAGAGAATGAGCGAGCGAGAGAGAGAGCGCGAGAGATGAGAGGGATAGTAAGAGGGCATTCTGCAGGATGAGGGGCCTACGCTGCCGCAGGTAAAGCGCAGCTGCCAATGCGGGATTTTGTCCGAAGCGCGTCTCCCTGCCCTGCGACCACATTCGGATGCAACTCCTGGGAGGTCAAATTCTGATTTAGCCCTGGTCCGAAATCCCGTTTAATCCAGCTTAATCCCGCTAAATCCCGCTTCATTCGGCTCAATCCCGTTTAATCCCGCTTAATCCGGCTTGATCCCGCTTGATCCGAGGCCCACTCTGGCGTAACAGCCCCCCAATGGGGCTTAATCCTTTTTAATCCTTCCGACGAGAACCAGTACTTCTTCCTCAATCCTCCTTAATCCTCCTTAATAGTCCTTAATCCTCCTCGATCTTTCTTATTCCTTAATCCTCCTTAATCCTCCTTGATCCTTCCGACGAAAACCTCCCAGCAGTTGCCTCCTAAATCGCAGGGCTGGCGCGCCGGGGCGCCCGCCGCGTGCGGAGGTGCTGTACTGCGAGCTGCACCCCCACTGCGGGGACAGGCCCGGCACCGCCTCCTGCCGCGTGGCTTCAGTCGGGCCCGTCCCCCTACAGGAGGAGTATTTACAAATAGTAAAAAACAGTCTGGGGATTATTTTTTTGGGAATATGTTTTTGGACAGGCCCGGCATCGCCTCCTGCCACGTGGCCTAAGTCGGGCCCGTCCCTCCACAGGAGGAGTATTCAAAAATAGTAAAGAAATAGTATGGGGACTATTTTTGAAGTATTTTTCGACAATTTTGGAGCATTTTTTGGTGCATTTTCTATTTTTCGTCAAAAATCCCCCTGTAGAGGGGGACACGCCCGACTTAACACATGGCATTTCGTTCGCGCTCCGTCTCGGGGTGTGCAGCTCTTCTGCAGTCTCTCGGCACGGTGGGGGCGTTGGTTCAGGAACGTGCGCCGGAGGCTTCAGACCCTGGGGGTTTCCTTGTCTGATAAGGGCGGCGGTGATGTCCATGGCCAATCCACGATCGAGGCTCAAGTGGCTTCGAGACCCTGGATTCCTTGTCCACTGGTTCCCTATCCAATGCCCCCACCGTATCTTCTGGCGGGGACGCACTCGTTGTTCAGGACACCTTCGCAGTGGCCTCTCGGCAGCAGCAGGCCCATGCGGCGGCCGTCGCCGTCGCGTGCAGCGCTGCGGGTGCCGCCGCCGCCGCCAGCCACGGCGCAGCCCTGCGCTCGCATCCGCAGTTGCAGGGCTGCTGGTGGCCGAATCATTTCGGCGGCAAGCGAGGGGGGGAAGTGAGAAGGAGAAGTTAATCTCAGAAGGCGGCGGGACTTCTCAGAAGCCCTCCGGCCTTCTGAGAAGTTTTCCGTGTCTTCGGGGATGGCTTAGAAAACTTCCCAGAAGGCCTGGCGTCTTCCGAGCCTTCTGAGAAGGCCTTCTCAAATCCCCCCCTCGCTCGCAACCAAATCATGTCATCGATGTGGCGGGTGCTTGTGTTTGTTCCTGCCCCGACATTGCATCCGACCCGAGGGATCCGCTATTCTAGATCCTTGAACTTTAGTGGATCCTGGCCAGTTATCCGAGCGCCATGCCGATGCATTCGCTTGCGGTCGGATGCGCTTCCCAGGACCTTGAAAGGCCGACCCCTCGGATCTGATATCTTGTTGGAGACCTATTTGTGTCCTCTCTTGCCGAACCATCGTGCAGCTTCGAGGGATGGGCGGAACACGGATCCCCGAGCGCGTTCCACTCCTTGCAGAGTGCTTAATCGCAAACGTCCGAAAACACATGTGTGCCCAAACGTCGTGGATCGTAGATCCCCCGCGGCGGATCCAGGCCATTTGCGAGTAGTGACTTTGCGAGTGGTGGAACGCGCTTGCTCGGTAGCAAATCATGGGAGCCTGGTCTGCCCTTTTAATTGTGTCTTTAATGCCGATTGGCGTCGCTTAGCGTCTGGGAGTCGATGAGATAGCGCCGATTTAGCGTCGGTTAGCGTCGATTAGCGTCGATCCAGCGTCGATGAGCGTCGATGTAGCGTCGATGAGTTGCCACCGAACATTTGCGAGCAGTTGCTCTGCGAGTGGTGGAACGCGTTTGTCTAACGGATGGCGTATCTCACCCCGAATCGCGCAGGGCGAAGCTGGTGCTCTACGAGAACGAGCTCTGCGAGGCCGCGGCGGGGATGCCCCGGCCCGCCGGCTCTTCGCGTCGACCCTCGCCCTCAACCCCTTGCACGGCCCGGCCTGGCAGAAGAGGGGCATCCGCCTGGTAACATCGGGGAGCATACGGTGGAGACCCATGCCAAGAAACACCCTGCTTACCTCCAGGGTGCCCTGGGTTTCTTAATTTTTGGGCTTGCGCCACACCGCCGACCCCCTGAGGAATCGGCGGTTGTTGCGTGTGTTGCTCCCGAGGGCCTCTTGTGCGCCTTTTGGGGGCTCCTTGGAGCTCTTTTGGGGCTTCATGGGGGCCTTTTCGGGGCCTTTGGGCTGACATTCTCAGTATTCGCCGTGCACGCATGGGGAATGGGGCGAGAACCCGCGTATACAGACGGAGGGCATCTGTCAAAACACCCGACGCATGATTATCGAATGGCCTTCGGTGCATCCCGCCACCGTGCTTGTGCTGCGGGTCTGAGGCCACTCGGATGGCTGGTGGGGTCTCATGGGTGGCGTCTCGGAGGCGTTTTGGAGGCAGTTTTTTATAACCCTCCTGCGGTGGGTATTCCATTTGAATGGAACACTGCCCACGCGACTTCTCCTTCTCCCACCCCCCTCCTCCTCTCTTCTTTTCTCTCCTGCCTCTCACCTCGCTCCTTCCTGCGTGCCAGCTTGCCTCCCACCCAGCCATCCCTGGGGGGCTGCGATCTGCGAACATGTCTCCACTTTCGAGGGCTGCTGGAGGTCCAGCGGAGTGACGTCTACCCAGGCCACCAGGAGACCTCGAAATCCTTGTTGGGATGCGATCTGCGAAGCTGTCGCCACTTTCGAGGGCGGCTGGGGAGTCCAGCGAAGTGACGTCTTACCCAGACCACCAGGAGACCTCGCCGTCCCTGTGGGCTTGCGATTTGCGAAGCTGTCGCCACTTTCGAGAGCTGCTGGGGGGTGCAGCGGAGTGACGTCTTACCCAGACCACCTCGAGACCTCGCCATCCCTGTGGGGCTGCGATCTGCGAAGCTGTCGCCTCTTTCGAGGGCTGCTGGGGGGTCCAGCGGAGTGACGTTTCACGCAGACCACCTGGAGACCTCGCCATCTCTGTTGAGCTGCGATCTGCGAAGCTGTCGCCACTTTCGAGGGCTGCGGGGGGTGCAGCGGAGTGACGTCTTACGCAGACCACCAGGAGACCTCGCCATCCCTGTGGGGCTGCGATCCGCGAAGCTGTCGCCGCGTCGAGGGCCGCTGGGGGGCTCAGCGGAGTGACGTCTTACGCAGATTCAGATGAGATCTCTCCCCATTTTCAGGGGTCCAGAGGTGGCGGAGGAGGAAAGGCGGGGTGTGTCTTGATTTCGATGGTTTCTCTATGGACAGCGTGACGTTCCCGCACCAGAAATCAATTTCGTCCTGTTGTCTCAGGGTTGGGTTTCTTGTGGAAGGTTTCTCGTCGACTGGCCTCCACTGTACAAGGGACAGACAGGACAACTCGGCTTGGCATTGCTCGGACGTGTGCACCCTTTCCCCGGCGACGACCCTCGAGGAGCATCCCAGATCATCTGGCAAAGAACACACTCACGAAACCAACAAGTGCACGGGGCATGGACGTCCGAACGATGGCACGGCGGAGGTCCGCGCGGACTCCTCGGATCAGCGCGGGGGCCACCTGTCAGCGCCCGAGGCGCCGTCCAGCGCCGATCCAAGACACCCGCGCGGACCTCCGAGCTTTTATGTTTAGGTCATTGTTTGTTCCCCGATAGGTCATGTATCCCAGCGGCACCGTGGGAACACGACCAGTGACCAGGACTCGGGTGGTATGAGCTCCCGGCGCGCCCGTCGTGGGGTCAGAAGGCGAGATGAGGAAGAAAGGAACTGGCGGGCAAACCGGAGGGCGAAGGAGAGTGTGACGAGGAGGGGAAGAGTAGGGCGAGGTGGATGACAAAGAGGAAGGCCATTAGCAGTCAAAGAGGAGGCGAAGAGAATTTTTGATGGGAGTGGGCATTCTCATCCTCCATCTTCTCCTCCTCGTCCTCCTCGCTGCCATCCTCATCCTCCTCCCAGTGGAGGCGGGCGCCCTCTGAAGACACGTAGGAGAGGGCTGGGCAGGCCCCGGTGCTCGACGTCTATCTCACGGAGCGGTCGCTGTGCTGTGAGAAGATCGGCATCAATTGCAGCTGCTTCTCCGTGGAGGACAGGATGCCAGAATCAGGGGGAGGGTGAAGAGTGGGATGAACGGCGTCGAACTTGACCCAGGGGCTCTCGGGAAGTGCAGTCGCATGCCACATGCAATCCGGGCCGATCTACCAGCCTTGCCAGCTAGCATCCACTATCGTATGCGCTCGGGTACAGTCATTTCAAAAGATCGGGCGCTGGTGCCTGATCCTCCCATCTGTTGCTCGATGCTGATTTCTCGAGGACCACCAGTTCTCCACGAGGACGCTCTCCGAGCGCAAGCTCTGGCTCCGCGCGATCTCTAACCTGAAGGCCCCGTGGCACCGACGTCGAGTTTCAGCTGGCTCGAACGTCAAGAGCAACCTTTGCTTTGGAGGGATACACTTCTGTTTTTTCGTTTACCACTACCCTCCCACTACCTCTACCACGACCACCACAGCTACCACTACCACTAACTGCCACTACCATTACCACTACCATTCCTTCTACTGCTGGTACTTCTGCTGCTAGTACTCATACGAATACTGCTGCTACTGCTACTGCTGCTGACTGCTACTGCTGCTGCTACTGCTGCTGCTACTGCTACTGCTACTGCCACCGCTACTATTACTACTACTACTACTGCTACTACTACTACTACTACTACTACTTCTTCTACTACTACGACTACATCGACTACGGCTACTATTACGACTACTACTACTACGACGACTACTACTATTATGATTACTACTACTACAATTACTACAATTACTACTACTACTACTACTACTGCTACTACTACTACCTCAACGACTACTACTACTGCTGCTACTACTATCCCTACTACTACTACTACTACTACTACTACTACTACTACTACTACTACAGTTACTACTACGACTACTACTACTACTACTACTACTACTACTCGTCCTTCTACTCATGCCATCACTCCAACGGCAACTACTAGTCTTAACGCTACGACTACGACCACGGCGACGACGAAGACTACTACGACAACTAGTTCTACTATTAGTAGTAGCTACCACTACTACTACTACTACTACTACTACTACTACTACTACAGCTACAACTACAACTACAACTACAACTACAACTACAACTACAACTACAACTACAACTACAACTACTACTACTTCTGCCAGTACTTGTACCCGTACTAGTACTAGGATATGGCTATTACAATTCGTATATTTGAGATTATATATATGTATATATATATATATATATATAATTGAAAGAGCGTGTTCTACCGCTGCTGGCGGAAAACCAGGGGGGGTCTCTACCGGTTCGAACCCCTCCCCCCCCTCCCCCCCCCCTCCGGAAAACAGGGTGGGGTCACTACCGGTTCGAACCCCTCCCCCCCCCCGTTCATCATGAAAAGGTGGGGTGGTCACTACCGGTTCGAACCCTTCCCCCCCCCCCCACCCCCCCGAAAACCGGGGGGGGTCAATACCGGTTCGACCCCCCCCCCCCCCTCGAAAACTGAGGGGGGGGTGCGGACAATGGTGGGGACGGTGGTGATGGGGACAGTGGTGAGGGGACAGCGGGACAGTGGTGACAGTGGTGGGGACGGTAGTGGTGGGGACAGTGGTGAGGACAATGGTGGGAACAGTAGGGTCAGTGGACAGTGGTGGGGACGGTGGTGGTGGGGACAGTGGTGTGGGGACAGTGGGAATGAGGTGGAAACAGTGGGAAAGTAGAGGGTACAGTGGTGGGGACAGTGGTGAAGGCGGTGGCGAGGACGGCGGTGGGACAATGGGACAGAGGTGCAGTGGGGACAGTGGTGCGAACAGTGGGGACTGGTGGGAACAGTGGGACAGCTTAGTGGGACAACGGAGGAGTCAGTGGGACAGTGGGGACAGTGGGGATAGTCGGGCAGTGGTTGGGGCCGCGGAGAAAGTGGGGAGAGTGGAACCCTGGTGGGAACAGTGGTGGGGACAGTGGGGACAGTGCGACAGTGGTGGGGGGCACTGGTGGGGAGAGTAGGGACGGTGGTGGAGCCAGTGGGGACAGTGGTGGTGAGGACAGTGGCGCTGGGAACAACAGTGGGGGATGTGGTGCGGACGGTGGTGGGGACCGGGAGTCGTTTGCTGGCGGTGAGTGGGGGAGGGCGGGGAGGGGTTCGAACCGGTAGTGACCCCCCCCTCCGGTTTTCGGGGGGGGGGGGGGGTTCGAACCGGTAGTGACCCCCCCCCGGTTTTCGAGGGGAGGGGGGGGGGGTAGGAGAGGGGGGGGCTTTGCCGGGGGAGGAGAGGGGGGGGGAGGGGTTCCAGCAGGGGGGGGGGGTTCGGAGGGGGGGGGACCCCCGGGCTCCGGAGGGAAAGTGCGGCAATTTTCCAAGCAGTAGAGCGGCGGTGGATCACGCTCTCTCTCTCTCTCTCTCTCTCTATATATATGTATAGATATGGTGAGGTCTTCCGCGGAGATCTGGGAAGTGATTGTTTTGCTGCTTTTCGCGAAGATGTTTTTTTCGGCACGTTTTTTTTCTTGTTGTTCGGATTTCTCTGTAACTCCGCAGCAACGAGAATCGTTTTCTAAGGGCGCCACAACAGCAATCCTTGTCTAAGGGCGCCACAGAAGAGATCCCTTTTAAAAGGCCGCCACAAAAAGGGATCCTTTTGTAATGCTGACACACAAGGAATCCTTTTATAAGGCCGCCACAAAAGGTGTCCTTTATGAGGCCGCTACAAAAGGAATCGCTTTGTAAGGCCGCCACAAAAATAATCCCTTTGTAAAGCTGCCACAGAAGGAATATTTCTGTAAGGCCGCGAATCAGTTTTGGGCAGCGAGGAGCGGAACACCAGGAAAACAATGAAAAACAAGGACAACAAGGATAACACAGCGAACAACAAGGAACAACAATTTGAGTATTGTGTTTTCATATGTTTTCTTTAGGTTTCATTTTTTGTTGGCTGTGTTTTCATATGTTGTCTTTGGTTTTCAGTGTTTGTTTGATGTGTTTTAATGTTTTTCCTTCGGTGTTCAATGTTTTTGGCTGTGCTTTTGCAGGTTTCCTGTTGTCTTCATTGTTTTTTTGCTGTGTTTTTATATGTTTCTTTGGTTTTCATTTGTTTTGGCTGTGTGCTTCTAGTTTTTTCACAATTTCCTTGTTTTTTCGCTGTGTTTTCATTGTTTTCATAGTTTTCCTTGTTTTCCTGGTTTTCCGCTCCTGGCTTCCGAAAACTCATCAGGCCGCAACAAAAACAATCCCTTTGTAGGGCCGTTACTATAGGAATTCCCTTTGTAAAGTCTGCCACAAAAAGGGACCTTTCTGTAAGGCCGCGAACCAGTCTTGGGCAGCAGGCAGCGAGGCGCTCGTGTGGGAGACTTTGTTTCCTGCAGAGTACATTATTACAGGAAGCACAACATCCCTAGTCGGCGCTACCCGATGGGCATTCCCGTGCAGTTCTCATTGTCGAAAGAAGCCAGGGCATACGCCATGGAAGCAGAGGACGGAAGCTCCGCTATGTCCGGCAACGTGTTCTTCGACATTGACATCGAGAACTGCTTCGTGGTGCTCCTCTGCAACAGTTTGGAGGATGCGTCGTTGGACATCGGGGACTACCCAACTCTCGTGTCTTTCAAGAACAACCACAAATCGTGGATAGCATTTCTGTGCGATTATCTTGGTGTCAGCATGAAGGACGCAAAGCGCGTTTTTATCCGCCTCGTGCACCTAGTTGTTCCTCGCAACGGTTTGCCTTTCCTATGGAATCTTTCTCGGGAGATTAAGGGGGCCGTGAAACGTTTCTTAAGTCAGCCGCAGTTTCCATATTTGCAGAATGTGTTCAATGAGAGGCCAAATCCAACGGCTACAAGACTGCGCTGTGCACTGTCCAGTATTGAAGATTCAATCGTGGACGAAGCCGAGACGACTCTCAAGACACTAGGCGGGATCAGTATTAACACTTGCATGTTCGACGGGATGATTGTCGCAGCACCGCCGACAGCCGTTTCGGACATCGACATGGTTTTATCGGCGTGCTCGGCTCGTCGAAGAGTGACCTTCACGGTGCAGCAGTTCCACCCGCAGAGCGGCGAGAGGGACTCCGTTGGCGGCGCCGCGCAGCTGAGCGCGTTCGAACGAGAGCAGCAGCTCGCGTACATCCAACTCCGAGACGGAACCATCAGCTCCGAGAGCGAGTTCTTCGGATTGGTTACGGAAGTGGAGCGCCGCTACAGTCGCTCCGCGTCTCTGTTGAAGAACTTGATGAGACAGCATCCTCGGCCAGAGCTACTTCGCCACAGTAGCTCCTTGCCAGACGTGCCAGACAGACCGTGGAATTAATTCGGCGGGCAGAACGGGGGCGCCGGCGGGGATTCCGAACGAACAGTTCGCCAGAGAAGGGCATTCGCGTTGCTTTCAAGGGCCGCGTGCTCTAGGCGTCGTGGGGCTTGCCTGGGTGGTGCGTGATCGGCGACGCCGCGTGGGGGGCATGCGCAGCACGCCATTCTCTTTCACATATTGCGGAGGCGATCCGCGACCCCTTCCGGGTTCGTTTCAGATCGCAGCGCGGCCAGAGCACTCGGTGGAGGGAATCGACGCGGAGTCGTTCGTAGATGCGCAGGAGGCATTGTTCGCATATGCTATCACTCTGCGTGATGCAATGGGCGTCGATCGGTCCGCGCCCACCATGCTCGCCTCCATGGACCAGTCCCTGGAGGGAGATTTTGGCGGCGAGGCTTGGTGCCTCCGCATTATGATCATGCGGGGGTTCCGCCGCTCGACGGGCGACGCTCTCGGCGGTTCGAGCTGCAGCGTCTGCGGCCGTCTGGGCGCAGACTTGCCCCCGCGTGAGCCCTATCGTGTCTGCCAGGGGTGTCTCCGCTCATCGCCGCCAGGCGCTGCGGCTTCTTCGTCTGCCCCTGCGCCGCCAGACTCGGGCGCCTGCCGCTTCTTCGGCGACCAGGGATCTGATTCCGTCGGGTTCGCGCAATTCATGTTGAGTCAAGCAGACGAACAAATCGGGTGGATCCAGTTTGGCGCGTCTTCTTCGAATGGCGGCTCGGCTGCAGACCTTCGAGAGCCTCGCGAGGACGTC